CTTTATAAATTCTAATATTGTTTTTAATGATTATTTTAAATGTTTATATAGTTTGTTTAGTAAAAAATTTGCATCTCAAAGTATTGTTTTATATTGTGGGAAGAGTAAAGCGTTCAGATTGGCTAATATTTGAATTGTAAGTTTTATATCAAGATGTGGTCAGTACACCAGTGTTTAACCTCTGTATTCTGATTTGTATACTCTTTGAAACTGTACTGCAAAACCATTGTGTGCTTATGCAGTGTTTCATATTGTCTATGAAATTAAAGAACATTTGATGAAGTTAAGTTTCCTGAATACAAAACACAGTGCTTGATACATGGTGATCAGACTTGTTGCCAGCATTTTCTAAGTGTGCTCTCTGTAGTGCACTTTGGGTTTTAAATGAAGATAAATTTACAGTGGTGGTCTGTAGAACATGTTTGAAGGAGGATGTCTTTCTGTTATGAGTCAGTCAGACCCAGTTATGATAAGCAATGTAAACTTCTGTCTGCAGGTGCCTAGGACATTGCTAAGGAACATGTTATGGAGAAATAGTTACCTAACAAATTTGCGATTAATCCTCCTGATGAGATTTTTTTCATTAATGGAACTTTACTAGCTAACAGTTTATAGAAATAAATAAGACTCACTAAGGAGATTCCCTACAGTTTTTTATTATCTTGCATAAAACCACTTTTAAACTGGTTTAAACTTTAAACTTGGATCCAACAGCCTGAAGAACGTGAGGCATAGTGCAGTCACAGGAGTTTGTCCGTGTTTTAGCACAGAATATGTTGGGTAGATGTTCAGAGCAAAGTTATCAATTTGCACATTTATTGGAAATAATTACTGCCTCCGGGTATAGCTAAGGCCTATCAAATCTGATGGTACTGTATCCTTTTAGTACTGGGAATTGGACCAAGGGCTTTGCACATGCTAGGTTAGCAGTCAGCCACTGAGGTATATTCACAGCCCAGCAAGTCATTTTGTATTCTTTTTTAGCAGAGCATGAAGAATGGGTATTCATGAGAGCTTTGGAAGATGTTACTAACTTGTTCTTTCAGCAGTTATTCTTGAAGTTACTTGAAAAACTGCATTTTTCTGCAGTTAAGGTGAGTACAGGAGGGATAGAAAATGTGTTTTATGACTTGAATTAAGTAATCATTTGTCAAAATGGCAGTACGAATTTCCCAAAATGGCACTATGAGTTGAAACAGAGTGAGTGAAATTTGACCAGGGCAAATGTGACAGATAATTTAAAGGAACAGGCACTGGTTATAGTCTACATGTCAGAGACTTACAAAGTATATGAAAATCTCAGGGCTGGAGCGATGGCTCAATGGTTAAGACCATTTGCTGCTCGGGAGGAGGACCAGAGTTTGACTCCCACGACCCACTGCACAGGGCTCACATCTGGTGGTAACTCCAGCTCCAGGGGATCCAACATATCAAAGTCTAATTACAGCAATATAATATTCTGTTATTAAAACTAAGATTTAAAAATATATTGTCTTTTTCCCCCCATTATAAAGCATAGAAAAAAACACATCAAGGTTGTAGAATTCAGAAACTGTTCTAGGGAGAGCTTGCCAGGAGTCTTTGAAGGACTGGTTTAGAGATTCAAGCTGTTTACCTATCCCAATTTACGTACCCCCTTTTCACCCTAACCCTAATCCTTTTCACTCCTGGGGATCAGTTGTCCCTGACTATTGGGATAGTATTGTTGCAAACAGACATTCTTTTCTGCCATTTTATGGTTGAGGTCCTTTTTTCTCCAAATTGTCAGGGTTCTGTGTAGTCGTTTGCTGCCTTCAACTTGTAAACTGTTAAACCAACCTAAACCAAGTTAAGTTGTTTTAAATCTAGGCTGACTTACATACATGGTGTAGATACACTTTTTTGTTCTTTTGCTTTTGTTTATAATAAGACAGGGTCTCCCTGCAGCCCCAGCTGGCCTAGAACTTGCTATGTAGACCAGGCTGGCCTCCACCTCACAGAGATCATGTAATTTTAATAAATGCCTATGATTTGCTAAGTGCTTGCTGTACATCAAGAGCTGAGGTCGCACCAGCCATTCATTCAGCACTTTTCTACTGAAGGCCTTTTATATTCATGTTACCAGGGAAAAAAAGTGAACTAAGCCATGTGGCAGTTCTCAGGGAGCTTAGCCCTTAATGTCATCCTTGAGCTTGGTACTTGCTAAGGTCATTATGTCAGCATTAATAACTAGGATTGAAAATTTAAACCCAATGTAGTGCCAGATGTGGAGGTATAATTGAGCACTCCAGAGACTGCAACAGGAGGACCAAGTGTTTGAGACTTAAGAGCATTTGCTGCTCTGGGGGAAGAGCAGCCCTTGAGACCCTGTCATAGATAAAAATCTGTTTAGCCACTCAAAATAGTAACCCCATGAATTCCATCCCCAGAACCTATGAAAGGAGAACCAACTCCCCAAAGTTACCCTCTGACTACACGAATTCCACAGCACCTACCTTCACACACATCATATACACATGGTAAGTTTCTTTAAAACAAACAGTAACCCACTTCCACCCCAGCACACAACTTTATTAAACTCTAGGAGGCTGTTGTCCTCTGCCCCCAATAAAGGAATGCCTCATAATATTTGTTAAATGAAGGTCTGAAAACTGAAGCACAGAAAACTGATACTTTGCCCCAAGTCACATAGTAAATAACTCAGTAGTCATTTCTGAAGTCTGGTTTCAGCCATCAGACTGCCTCCCTTCTCACCAATGGTGTTGAGGAAAAGATTTGCTCCACTGCAAGGATCTGGTACATAAGACTTTAAGGGTTCTGTTTAAGTGTGTCCACTAGATGGCAAACCTCTTCTTAAAAACACAGTTCTACAAACAAGTATATAAAAA